TTTGGTGAGCCCTAGGCATTTTTATTTTGATGAGCCTCTTCCTAAATTAAAAAAAAAATTATAACTATGTTGGTACAAAGACAAGTATAATACAGAATAGACAGATACAGGTTGGATTTGTTACTGATATATTCATTTAATTTTTTAAATATTTTTGTGAGCCCCTAGAAGTATCACGAGGCCTAGGCACTGTGCCTACTGTGCCTAATGGGTAAGCTGGCCCTGCTTGCTCTATATCTTCTTCAGGATTGCATGCTTTGCACTGCCAGATTTTCAGAGCTTCCTAACCTTCCCAGTCTGCCCTTTCAATGGCCTTCATGCCATAAAAACATGTCAATCATTTCTCTGAATATCTTGAAATTTACATGTTTAAAGTTAAGGGTAATGATTTTTACATAATACCTAGGAAATTCTGATGCCTTTAGATTTCTCATCTCTATGTGGTGATAATAATAGCTGTTTTACAGAATTAAATGAAGGATGTAAAAACTAAAAAATATAATTTTATTCCTTAATCGAAAACTTAACTATGCCAATTCAATTTTATTTGGAGATATTTTGATTAAAAGGCTAGTAATGGAAAATCGAGAGAAATGGCCCTTATTGATCCATCGCTGACTTTTGTTCTTGACAGCAGCATAACTGTTAAGCACAACTGTTAACTTGGTGTTATTTTCAGAACATCTAAATGAGGCCCTTCTCATTTGGCAATACATTGGTATACTTAGTATGCCCCTTCAGAGGCAAAAGAGCATCTGTTCTTTTCCATAACCCTTTCTTTTCTTTTCTTTTTTTTTTTTTTTGAGACAGAGTCTCACTCTCTTGCCTGGGGCGAGTGCCGTGGCGTCAGCCTAGCTCACAGTAACCTCAAACTCTTGGGCTCAAGCAATCCTACTGTCTCAGCCTCCCGAGTAGCTGGGACCACAGGCACGCACCACCATGCCCGGCTAATTTTTTCTACATATATTTTTAGCTGTCCAATTAATTTCTTTCCATTTTTTGGTAGAGACGGGGTCTCGCTCTTGCTCAGGCTGGTCTCGAACTCCTGAGCTCAAGCAATCCTCCCGCCTCGGCCTCCCAGAGTGCTAGGATTACAGACGTGAGCCACCATGCCCGGCCCATAACCCTTTCTTTGTAAGACCTTTGTAGCTCTACAATACAAAGGGTGAATGTCAGGCTGTCTTAATACGACTGAAGAGAGAAAGAAGCAAAGATCCCTCCTTCCCAGATGGTTTAACACAACAGCATTCCCGGTGAAAATTCTTCTTTTCCCTCTATCATAAATCAAGACTGTCATTAGCTCTATGTATCAGTTGCTAAAGGAGACTCATTATGCATGTTTTGGGATAAAGGCATCCTGACCACATCATCTTCCCACTAATCAGGTTTTAAAACATAGAAGAACAAGAACTAACTCACTACCAATTTAAACACTTAATTTCAGAGAATCCTAAAACTAAAAGAAACTTTAAAAGTTCAACTAAGGCAATTCCCTCCCTTTATCACAGATATGTATGTTGTGAGGTTTAAATGAGATGTATGACTCACTTGCTCTTTATATAACACTTTTAAAAATATTCAAACATCTCTAAAGACATTATTTTATAATTATTACATTATCTCTGTGGTATAGGGGAAATGTAGAGTCAGCACCAGAATTTGCAGGTGGACAAACTTTTCTTGTAAAAGACTGAATAGTAAATATTTTAGGCTTTGCAAGCCACATTGGGTCTCTATTGTACTTTCTTTTTCTTCTTCTCCTTTCAACTGCCTTTAAAAATATAAAAGCTTGGTGGCCTGGCTAGGCCTGGCCTGGCCTATCAGGGTGCAGGCGGCAGTGGCTCCAGCACCACGTCCCTGCATTATGGGGCGGAGGAGATGCCCCTCGCCAGCGGCAGTTACCAGTTACGGCGGGGCTGATTCCTTTCCAAAGGACTTTGGCTACGGTGGGAGGAGGAGGAAGAGGAGGCGGCAGCACTGGGTGGAGGGGTTGGGGCGGAGGCTGGCGGGGGGGACTGTGGCCCCAGGGGCGCCGACAGCTCCAAACCAAGGATTCTGCTCATGGGGCTCTAGCGCAGTGGCAAGTCCTCCATCCATAAGGTGGTGTTTCATAAGATGTCACCCAATGAGACCCTTTTGGAAAGTACCAACAAGATTTATAAAGAGATATTTCCAATAGTTCCTTTGTAAATTTACACATATGGGATTTTCCTGGCAAATGGACTTTTTTTTTTTTTGAGACAGAGTCTCGCTCTGTTGCCCAGGCTAGAGCGCCATGGCGTCAACCTAGCTCACAGCAACCTCAAACTCCTGGCCTCAAGCGATCCTCCTGCCTCAACCTCCTGAGTAGCTAGGACTACAGGCATGCACCACCATGCCAGGCTAATTTTTTTTTTCTATACATTTTTAGCTGTCCAGCCAATTTCTTTCTATTTTTTAGTAGAGACAGAGTCTTGCTCTTGTTCAGGCTGGTCTGAACTCCTGAGCTCAAACGATCGTCCCGCCTCGGCCTCCCAGAGTACTAGTATTACAGGCATGAGCCACTGCGCCTGGCCCAAATGGATTTTTTTGACCCAACATTTGACTATGAGATGATCTTCAGGGGAACAGGGGCATTGATATATGTCATTGATGCCCAGGAGGACTACATGGAGACTTTAACAAGACTTTACATTACGGTTTCTAAAGCCTGCAAAGTTAACCCAGACATGAATTTTGAAGTTTTTATTCACAAAGTTGATGGTCTATATGATGATCACAAAATAGAAAGACAGAGGGACATTCATCAAAAGGCCAATGATGACCTTGCAGATGCTGGGCTAGAAAAACTCCATCTTAGCTTTTATTTGGCTAGTATCTATGACCACTCAATATTTGAAGCCTTTAGTAAGGTGGTACAGAAACTTTTCCCACAACTGCTGACCTTGGAAAACCTATTAAATATCTTTATATCAAATTCAGGTATTGAAAAAGCTTTTCTCTTTGATGTTGTCAGCAAAATCTACATTGCAACAGACAGTTCCCCTGTGGATATGCAGTCTTACGAACTTTGCTGTGACGTGATTGATGTCGTGATTGATGTGTCTTGTATGCATGGGTTAAAGGAAGATGGAAGTCGAAGTGCATATGACAAAGAATCTATGGCAATTATCAAGCTGAATAATACAACTGTCATTTATTTAAAGGAGGTGACTAAACTTTTGGCACTGGTCTGCATTCTTAGGGAAGAAAGCTTTGAACGAAAAGGTTTAACAGACTACAATTTCCACTGTTTCCAAAAAGCTATTCATGAGGTTTTTGAAGTGGGTGTGACTTCTCACAGGAGCTGTGGTCACCAGACCAGTGCCACCAGCCTGAAAGTGTTAGCACACAATGGGACACCGAGAAACACCATCTAGTCTGAATCCCAGCATTGGGGCTCCATGCCAGCTTACTCTTCACTCCAGGGTCAGATGCCATGTGCTACAGGACATGAGAGCCACTGCTTGTGGGAATCTGGTGCCTGTCCCACTAGAGACAAGGGGTAGAGTTTCTCATTTGGATGAAAACCCCTTCAACCACTGGTGTACGACTGAAGCTACTATTTCTTTTTGAAAAATGGCCCAAAAAAGAATTCTAGAGACCACAGAACTCAAGTTGGTCTTTTTCCTCTTTTGGGTTCTACTTTAAGTAGTTGGGATATTTTGGACCTGGAGACAACACCAACTACCCATCCTTACCGGGGAATGTGGCTGTCAAGTCCAGTTGAAAATAATAGAAAAAACTGAGTTTATACATGCTTCACTTAGGCTTTCATTTGAGTATTCTCTAACGATCCTGCCTTGCTTAAGTTCTAACACTGCCTCTCGGATTTCAATTTTGGACCTTGCCCATCTAAGACTTTTTAAATACATTTGCTTGCTAACTCAGAAGACACACAGTCTGACTGCAGCAAAAGACATTCCTGTATTTGTTATTGAAGAAATAAGAGAAAATTTTATGCTGCATCAGGTGGAGAGCAAGGCTCAACAGTGGCTGCATTAGTTCCCTTGGAAGTGTTGAGGAAAAAACATTGAAAAAGAAGAAAATTTTCACATGTGTGTTTTGAGTACCAAATGTCTGGGTTCTTTCTCCTGCATTAGATAAATGATCGTGTTCAATGTAACAAAGGGAATTTAAAAAAAAATATTTTCCCCACAGTCACCTCCTAGGGGAGAAACTCATTATGTCACTGAAGTATTTATTTTCTTTAATCTTGGTATCAGTCTCTACGTACCTCTTATTCTAAGCTATCTGGATTCTTTATTGCTATTTGTTGACCATGAATGACCCTAAGGCAGTGGTGCGTTGTCCAATGGGAGTTGGAAACAGCACTGGTGTCACAACAATGTCTTGTTTTACATCCTTTGTCTCCAGTATTCTGACACCAAGTGTCAGCTGTGGTACTTTCTTTGCCTAGGATATTAATTCATAATTGTTGCTTTTTGTTGATGGCTGATACCCTTTCCATTGATTTAACTTACACATTATTTTTATTCCACATGCCCAGTAGTCATATATTCCAAAGCCACTGGACCACTTGAGTATGTAAGTGCCACTGTTTAACGTGATATGTATATTCAGGTCTGTAAACCTAACAGTGTGACTTGGAGTGCTTCCTGTGCATGATTCTGACTGTTGAGTATTGACATGGACTATGGTGATATCCAAAAGAAAAATGCTTTTATATTTATAGATTATTTCATTGAACTATATATAAAATGGGTATCAATAAATGTATTTACTCCAAAAATAAATAAATAAACTCTTCTTTTATTATTAACCATACAAAAGCAGATGAGTCAGATTTGCCCTGTGCAGGTCATGGTTTGCCAACTCCTGAACTAGATAGCGAAATTGAAGTAGTAAGAGATAATGTGTCAAATGAATTCATAAAACAATGATAAAACCATCAGCAAAACTTAAATCTTCACATTTCATTCAATATATCATTCTACATCTATGAAAAATCTCTCCTTTACCTGAAATTCATCGAAACACAAGAGACATGCTTCTTCACTGATTTCTTCAGCTATGGGAGCTATTGGGTCATAAGATTTAGCCATTAATCCTGGTTTCCTTTTTGGCAAACTCTGTTTAAGGCGATGTATTCCTTAAATGGATGAAATTGAACACAGACCAAATATTATATTATATTTTAGACAACTATAACATATTTTTAAATCTCTAAATAAAACTTCAGTGTGGCTATAAAAATTAAGTTTAAATTCCATGTATAATCAAATTTAATTATTGAAATTGGTTGTATTTTTTCTACCTTAAAATAAGTTGTTCAAATATTATTATATTCTTATAGTTGTAAGGAAACTTCAAAGTTATTCCATCTCCACACTCTTTAATCACTTCAGAGACGACAAGCTAATGGACAGGTTACTACTAGATATGATCCTGCCCAAGGCGTGCATGTTGTATCTAGCATATCTAATCACAATGTTCCCTTGTCTCTAGCCTAATACACTACAGTCGGTCCACTTCATTCATTATGTGTGTACTAAATGCTGAAAGTATTAGAGGAAAAACACAAGGTTCCTGCCCTAGGGAGGTTTCGGTATAGCTGGTAGATAAATCATGCAAAAGTAAAATAACAGAACACTAGCAAAGCAGTAAAGCTACACACAAATACAAACGGAATGCCTACATGCTAAGATAACACAGAGTAAAGGACCTAATCAAGAATAACTGCTTGAAACAGGTACATTATTAACATTTTTTATTAATCCTTAGTAGAAATAGAAAATGTCTGACCTTGATATAGTAACCTCTGTTCTCAGATTTGGAAGTACTGAATTGTTAAGGACCAACTCTGGACACATTATTAACTGTTTCATTATAGCACAAAACAAATGAAACCAAATAAACTTTTATGTCAAGCAAAAATCTAATTTTTAAAAAAGATTATATTGCTCCTAAACTCTACTGAAGAAAAAGGGAAAAAAAAGATTATATGTTCATTCAATGAAGAAAACTATTTTATAGTGTTTGCCCACTGAAAAATCACTTCTTTCAGATCATTCACTTACTTTTGTGCACATCTAGCATGAAACCATGAAAATGAACCCGTTTTTTCCTCTTCACTTCCACATAAGCATAAAACATGTCCATCACCATTGTTTTCCCTGTACCTTAAAAATAAAAAAAAAAGAATACTATTAAATAGTATGTACTGATTACTGTAATGATTGTTCATTAGCTTTGAGATAATAAAACCACACTCTCCCACTGGAAAGCTGAAGACTATGTTACTTTTTTAGAAAGTGTTTATATGTTAAACTAGCTAAAAATAAAATGTTGATAGTACTCTTTTCTGTTAAAATCTTGTTTTTTAGGAAATACAACATTTAGTTAACATTACCTAGCCTATTTTCTCCCAGAGAACTATGTTCATACACTGGTAAGATTCATAAGATTATTTATTCTTCAGTCTTCCAAAAGGCTCTAGTATAAATAAAATAACTTAATTAATTAAATAAATATGTATTGGGTCATTACTATGCATGAGGAACTGTCTTAGGCACTATGGGAAAATTCAAAAATAATAAATAAGAAAATTAAGAGAAGAACGGTGAAAAACAAAGATTAGTATATAACACAAATACTGAAAATGACTCATATATGTACGCTAGAGCTGGAGAATTGCCAATTATAACATTTCCATTTTTTTAAAAGCTGAGAATGTAAGTCTTTCAAAATGAGGTCTACTTGATGAAATTCTGATACAGTCAATCCCTATAATTAAATTATCTCAATTTCAACACTAGAACTTTTCATCACTACAATTGCATTAGTACAGTAGTCCCCCCACCCCAGAGCCAAGGTTTCAGTTACCTGAGGTTCATGGTCAACCACAGTCCGAAAATATTAAATGGCCCAGGCACAGTGGCTCACACCTATAAACCTAGCACTCTGGGAGGCCAAGGTGGGAGGATCCCTTGAGTTCAGGAGTTCGAGACCAGCCTGAGCAAGAGTGAGACCCCATCTCTACTAAAAATAGAAAAAATTAGCCAGGCATGGTGCCATGCATCTGTAGTCCCAGCTATTCAGGAAGCTGAGGTAGTAGTATCACTTGAGCCCAGGAATTTGAGGTTGCTATGAGCTAGGCTGATGCCATGGCACTCTAGCCCAGGCAACAGAGCGAGACTCTGTCTCAAAAACAAATAAATAAATAAATAAAAGAAGAAGCCATTTAGAATGAAAAGTAATTCACGGCAAAAATATTCAGTATGGTATCTCTTGATAGAATAGCAGCAGATTTTAAATCATTACATTTACACAGAAAAGTAAATTAATAAGTTTAAAATTCTGTTGCATGCAGCATAGTATACTTATAGATCCAGGAAAAAGTCATGAACTATCCAACCAAAAATGTGAATAATATA